CCCCCCCGCCTCAAGCAATTGTGAGGCAGCGTGGAGGAATCAGGCTCTCGTCAATTTTTGGGCATGTAGAGTTATTGGTGTCATCTAAAAGCTCGTTCACTTGTCTTTATTTGGATGAAAAAAATATCCATTTATCTTGAATACAAGTTGAGATATTTGCGAATGAAGGAGGTGGGGTTACTTGTTTTCAGAAGTAAAATTAGTGAGAAAATGGCCACTAAAGGTTAGTTATTTCCTTAGCTTAAGAGTCCGTGGTAACTAAAAATTTACATTTTCTGTGTCTTTAACCAACGTTTTTCAGAAAAATCCACACAGAAATGAGTTCTTTAATGGGCATGAAAGGTGTTGAGCCAAAAACAAAAAAAAAAAAAAAAACAAAAAAATTCACAAACCTGCGGGAAAATGCAAGTTTCTTCATTTTGATTATTTTGACGAGAGCCTGATTCCACCACGCTGCCTCACAATTGTTTCAGCCTGAACATTTCTGACACTCGAAGGGGGCCGGGTCACACTCAGGTCACGACTCCAAAGTCGTGAGTGCTCTCCTGCTGTTTCTGTTTGTTTGTTTTCTGTTTTCTTGGCGCTGATCAGTTACTGCATGCGCGTGAGTGCACGAGTTACTAATTCTCTTTGTTAGTTTAATTTTAGCAATATTGGTTGTTTAGTAGTTTTAGTAAGGTTTACGGCGCTCGCACCTGCAGAAGGTCGTATGAGCGGCAAGGGGTGGAGGTCAACATAGAAGTGCAAACAGGGAATCAGGCTTACTCTGCTCACCTGTCTAGCCTCAACAGCACACAGTCTGCTTCGACTATCAAGGCACCCCGAAAATAGAAGTTCACGGAGAGTGACAATCATACAAAAGCAGTAGAGGGAAAATGACCATAGTAAGAATGAGGAAAGAAAAAGCAGCAGTTCCCGCTATGTCGTTTAAGCACAGTATGAGCATGACATTGATAAATCAGCCCATTTACAATTCTACTGTGCATAAGAACTTGTTGATATTGTTAGTATCCCCCTTTAGGAATTGCCCAAACACACTTCAGTCAGTAGCACTGCCCTGGGGTTGGGGTAATTCTCTTCACAAAGTATATTTCTATGCTGTATCAATGAAGAGAGTATCAGTTTTAGTAAACTTTTTAAGACACTTGCAACATGAACAAGTCATATAAGTGCTAAGATTAGACGTTTTAATAGAGAATAACATACACAGAAAAGATTAAGCAAGAGGGGAGATGAGGATGATAGATGTTTGGTAGGAAAGAAGGAGCAAACTCTCTCTCTCTCTCTCTCTCTCTCTCTCTCTCTCTCTCTCTCTCTCTCTC